AAAGCAGTTAAGTTTCGATTATAAATAAAATGGGTAATTCTGAGAGTGTAGACAAGCGAAAATTGCCATTTTTGTTAAAGAATTAAATGATTTCATCACATGGTGAAAATTAATTTTAAGGAACTCCTCATAATATTCTTGAAAAAGCTACTGATACTACTTTCAAGATACTGCCGTCAAAATCAAGATCAAGTTATGGATTAACCCAACTGACGTATAAAAAACAATACAAACTAATTTTCTTAGTATGTCTTTATTATGTGCTTTTGGCATATTTTGGGGAATTTATGAAATAATTTAAACATTTATCATTATGGGCAATGTATTTAATTTTTTTTTTGTTAGAGTATTGTTACTAGTTATTAATGACTAACCTACATTTTATTCTAAAAATCTTATTGACTAATTACTTATGTAAGAAGTCCCCATTGGGCTGTCTTAATTGTTTCTATAGGAAAGCATCACAAGTTGAAGTGACGATTTATTACACTGTTTTACACTAGCACTAACATTAACGTTCACTGCACTCGCTCAAATGGCTTCTTTCTTTTGAACCTTCTGTTGAATATAGAGTTGTCCACTAATTACTGCGCTTCTTCGTTGACGTGAAAATGGAGTCAACCCTCATGTTTCGCAGCAAACCTCTTCATTTCTTCTTTGATTGTTGGCATCTACAGGTTTCTATGAAGATGATCGTTTCGATAGAACCAAGGTCCATCAACAATGCATCTTAGGACTTTATTTTGGAAAACTTGTATCATGTTGATATTACTCTTGCTGGCATAGAGGTATGCTATAAATTCAGATTGGTTTTAGGATTTGTTTATAAATCAGTAATTTTTTGTACACTGATAATTTGGATTTTTTTTTAAATTTAAGTTTATTATTTACGCTTTTTTTTATGTGTACTTTCCATTTAAGTGTTACATCTAGCTTCATCCCTAGGTATTTGACCGAATCGTGATGCGGATTAACGTTATTGTTTATTCTTATTTGTTTTTGTTCATTTGATCGAAATGAAAAATCAACATTAGTTTGATTTATTTTTATTTTCCACTTTTTTGTCCAACGATTGATTCTGTTGCAGGTTTCCTACAATTTTTCTGAGGTCTCTGTATTAGTTTAGTCAACTGCCAATATTGCAGTATCATCCGCAAATGTTGCTATTTTAGCACAGTGTTGTTGAGGGATATCGCTGGTGTATAATAAGTAAGGAACCGGTTCTAGCACACTGCCTTGTGGGACACCTGCTTTAATTTCTGTCAATTCGGAGTATGCCTCATCTTGATTTACTCTAAAGATTCTTCCCGCTAGATATGATTGTAGAATGTCGAAAAATTGCTCCGTAGACAATGTTTTTCATGCTAAGAATCGTCGTTTCCATTAATATTGATATGTAACCAAAATTAAAAGCATTCCTCAAAAGGCAATCAGATGATTTTAAAAGCAGAAAATGTTTTTGATAAAATATGTGAATTTTTAAATGGAGCTTTTGATTCACAATACTTATTAACAAGGTTTGTATCTAAAAATAGTTTGTCTTTAGTTAAAATATTATTATTTATATTTACAATTTATAATATATTTAATAAATGTTGTAGATCATGAAAGCCTCCTCGTTATTATAAATGTATAATTGTGGTTGTAGATAAAATGTAGTACATTACTTGAGTTGTTATAGCAATTATATGCTCGTAGAATTACTGTATTCGCAGCTATCGCGGTTGGTGTGCTACTTTTCTACTTGCATGTAATTTGCTTCTAACTACTCTTGTTATGTAATATACCATATCAACTAAATGTAATTACATTTTTTTGGTTTGCTTAGAGAATTAGTCACATTGCTTTTGAATTTAATTGGTAAATTTTTTAAAAAATGCCCGATATTGGCATGGTGTGTTCGTGTTCGTGTCTGAGAGCTCCTTTCTTGTCAAAGATGTATAAGGCTCTATTCTAAAACCCCAGTATAGGTATCAATCAGTACTGGCACTCTAAGGCGGCACGTTTGATCTTTAAAATTATAAATTTTAGTTGACACTTGACGTTTCCAGGACTTAAAGTTTTCTTTACGCGAACTTGGTTCTGCTGCTGCTTTTCAAATTCGTGTGTATGAGCGAGATGTGAGATACCTTTATAGAGATAAAGGTTGAACAACTTAACTACTTTAAAGAAGAAAATAGGTTAGATATGAGGGCAGTCTTCACAAATGTAAAAAGGACAGAACCGTTTTAATTTTTTTTTGTGTATGTATCAAAAATGTTCGAATTTCGAAACTGAAATATTACTTTTTAGTGAAAAGTTTAATTACTTTTAGTTTAAAATATAACGTTAGTTGGTCCAGAAATATATAAAAAAAGAAGGTTTAGTGAGGTGAAAAAATATACAAGATAAAAGGATTATTGGGCAAATACCGCAAAAAAAATAAAAAAAGCCAAAAAGGCAAACCGTAGACACGTGTCTCTGACTATTGGTCTTCATCAGTACGGTGTAGCCAAGTTCAAAAGAGAATGGAACTAGCGATGAAATCAAAACAACAGGAGATCACTCAAGTAGGCAACTACACATTTGTGGACTGTGCTAACATTCCCAGTAATCACTGGGTATTTTTGATCTAAATCCACTACCAAAATAACAAATTTTCCGTTTTTAAGCTGTGAATGTAATACAATAACTACTTCGATAAAAGTAAACAAAAGTTTGTATTTGTGTACGAAATATGGGTTGCCTGCATATGGTAGCGAGTTTTTAACCGGATTTATGACAAGTGATAGATTATATCTCGAAAACGTCAGCGCAGTAAAAGCTGCGCGTCTTTTTCCCGCCCTAGGATTACTGCTAGATTACTTGTACTGCTCTAAAATGATGAAAAGTGCAACTGTTTCTGTTTTTACTTGATCAATCATATTTTTCTTTCCTTCTGAAACATTTAAGTAACGCTTATATATCCCAGGGGGGTGACGCAATTGGTTTGTTAAATTTGTTGTTATAAAGCAATGCTGCAGGGAAGACGAAGGTCTTTGGAAATTTGGTGTATTGGGTGTTTTCATATCAATGTTGTATTAAATCTGCTTTCTCAGTTTTACAATTGAAGGGCTTATTGGAAAAACGTGATAAGCCACACTTTGTTGAAAAATAAACTGTTTACTGTGTAGTAATCAGCAAGGGTATGATAAGCCACATTGTTAAGGGTTTAGACTTTCCCCAAAGGATGGCGCCACTAGCACGACTGTCAACGTATTGCTGTTTAGAAATTTCAGGCAGTAAGTTGCATACAACGTGACAAGCCACATTAAATGGCTACCGGCTTCCTGACATTTAAAGACAATAAAATGAATTGTGATGAAAATAGCCGTTCCAGCGACGAAAATAGTGAGTCATGCGATGACAGTGTAGCTGATATGGACTACCAACCAAGTGATGATGGCCATAATTTGAACAAAAGTGATGTAAGTTTTTGTTTATATTTTTGTGGCATGTCATGTTTTTGCAAAAAAAATTTCTGGTTATTTTTATGTGGCTTGTCATCTTATTGCGATTTATTTTCAGGATGAAATATCGTCCAGTACATCGGAGGATGGAGTTCAACCTCTCGCACCGCAAAGAACTACTCCTAATAGTCCTGAAAAAACTCCTAAATCTCGTTGGAGGCAAAAAAGAGACAGTAGTTATGAGAAAGAAAAGACATAATCTGGGGCAAGAATATACAAGCTTGAAAACAAAAAAACATATGAGAGCACGTGAGTTGCGACCATCCTGTGACAACAAGTTTTGGGATTTGGGCTCATTTGACTTACAAACTTCTTATCTTTTTGGCTGCGTTCATGTACACAATAAAAAGAGGTCTAAAAAAAGCAGAAACGACAGGAGTCTAGCAGAAAAATCACTGTTGACTATACAGCACATACTTTTATTGTGCTATACAGTGAATGTTGAAGGGCAAAACGTCAAAATTTGCAAAGTCCAGTTCATGAGTGTTCATGGGCTGCAAAACTCTCAAGGCAGGGTCAACCGCATTGTTAAAATGAAAGTGGAGGGATATGTTGTTCCAGAAACAGATAAACGGGGCAAGCACAGAAATAGAGCAAATAAAGTGAGTGATGAACAGAGACAATCTGTCAGAAACCACATTGACCTGATACCAAAATATCAAAGCCATTATAGCAGAGCGGATAATCCAAACAAGACCTTTCTCAACTGTGACATGACTATTGCTGAGCTCTATAAAAAGCTGTATATTCCATGGTGTGAGGAACAAAACATTGTCCCTGTGAAACAAAGCTTATATCGAAAAAAATTTTGTTCTGAATATAACATAGGGTTCAAACTACCCAAATCTGATACATGTAAAACATGTGATGAAACCAATATCAAACTAGAGAGTGCTATGCAAACCAATAATGAACAAGAGCGCAAGATATTGTCTACCACATTGGATCTACATAAAGCCAGAGCTAAAGTGATGCAAGATCTGCTCAAATTAGAGACGGAACACTCGAAGATTGATACTAATAACAAATGTGTGATCTCTTTTGACCTGCAGCAGGCTATGCCCATTCCAAAATTAACAATGGGGCCTGCATTCTACTGCAGGAAAATTTGGCTATACAATCTTGGCATTCATGACTGTACATCTGGGCAAGGGTACATGTACTTATGGACCGAAGATAAAGGTAAGCGGGGATCAGACGAAGTTGCTTCTGTGTTGCTAAAGTTTCTCAGTAATAAAACAACTGATGTGGAAAATCTTGTAATTTTTACAGTCAACTGTCCTGGACAGAATAAGAATTGGCAAATGATGGCATTGTGGTTGCAAGGAGAAAAGGTTCAAATCAATAACACATCACTTTTTAATCAGCGGACATACTCATTTACCGTCCGACAGGAATTTTGCCCTTATTGAAAAAAGGTACAGGAAATATGCGCCGATAATTTACTCACCCAAAGGATGGTATGAAGTTATTAAAGAGGCTAATAGCAAAACTCCGTTCGTCGTCACAATTATGAAACAAAACGACTTATTTGCATTTGAGCCACTTCTAAAAAATAATATCAAGAAGAGTGGTCAAACCATCAGTGGAGAAATTTTGGATTTTTCAGGTGTATATTCCTTCCAATTCAGAGCTGAAAACGCAAAATCAATCTTTATCAAACACACAGTTAACGGCGAGTTCAATGAAGTAAACATTGCCAAAAAAGGAAGACTTGTTTCTACACCTTTAACACCTTTAAGTGGACTAATTAAGAAGTACACTGAACCACTGAAAATTGTGGCGAAAAAAATACAAAACGTGAAGTCCTTACTTCCCTATATTCCACCAGTTTATCATCCCTTCTTTAACAGTCTAAGTGCTGCTGCTGGTACAGAGAACGAAGTGGAAAATGTAGAACTTTTTGACTAAGAAATTATTGTTTTTTTTTTTTAATAGAAGCCATTTGATTCGCCTATTGTTGTTTAATACCATAATATGTGTTTATTTGCTAACTAAATTGTTTTTGTATTCATTCGTTAATAAAGGAGAAATTTCGTTAATTCTAAACATGTAATAACATGACAAGCCACTTTTTTCTAAGTTTTTTTTCTTCAAAACTCTCCCTTGCGGTTTTTTTTAATACTTTAAGATTGTAGAGGTTAATATATGAGCCAGTACATCTGTTAAAAATACTGAGTGGTTATATTAATCAAAGATGTATTCTACAGATTTTTTTGAAACTTCAAAGTTCGTTTTCTCAATAAAATGATTTTGTGGCTAGTCACGTTTTTCCAATAAGCCCTTCAATTATAACTATTCTTCTTTTGTATTTATTTTATTTTTTGGTTTATTATTTAGCTATTAATATATAAGTAGGCATTAAGTACGATTTTCTTATATCGAAATATGTGAACAATTCACATCGATTTTTAATATTTATTTACACCTATCTAGCTATTAAATTACGATATTGTCAAAAAATTAGTGTAAATGAATAAATTTATCATCATTATTATTAAATATTGAGTTGATTTATAATAGGGTACTAGTTGCTTCTAAATTTAATTCCAAATCCACTTAGTGGTTTATTTAAAAAAAGCTATAGAGTAGTCCCCTTTAATCAGTATTAATACATTGTTACGATCTGAGCGGGAGGAGCATTTCATTCGAAGTATGCAGTGTAGCGGCACTAACCGTTAAAGTCCGCAACATCCGCGTTGTACTAAAGTATTTAATATCTCAAGAATGTGGTTTGGCTTTAATATGCAATTTCCATAGTCTGGATTCCGAACGCCGTGTTCTTTATACGATCCGGGACCTTGTTCTGTCTAATATTGGAGAGACCTGTTAAATTTCGTTTCAGCGTTTAGTGGCTTTACAAATCGCAATCAGATCCGAATGTTGCGTTACACCAAAGTTTTGATAAATTTTCAATATTATAATTGTTTAGATTTGAATATATCTTTTATATACCAGGCATTAGAAAATTTGCACCAAATTTCAACCAAAGAACAATCCTTGAAATGATGCATAATAAAAAAATATTACTCTGTGAATAATAAAACAGATATAAAAGATTTATCAAACGTTTATTTTAATCTTATTAACTAATTGTAAGCTTTGTAATCTTTAATAATTGTAACTTCAGTGATAATTTTAAATTTGTAAATATTCATCTTTTTGTTTACCTACTTTATCGTGTTAAACCATATTATTATTTTGAATACACCTTCACACGATGTAAAATAGAAAAATGGTAATCTATTCGTCCCCATACTTTTTATAAATTAACTGCACCAGAAGGTGGAAAAATTGTATTTTCCGAAACATATGTAGTGCGTAAGAGGACAATTTACATTACAAATTGAAAGACCTGCGGGGCAACGGTAGTTTAGTAGTAATAAAAATTACAACTTAACGGTGGAGCCTAAATACTACAAAATTACTTCCGAGACTAAACAAAATCAGCATTCATTCATTTTTAACAATTGCATGTAGATACGAGGGATACATATTCTACCCTCTAACGCGTGAAGTTGAGACAAGGGAAACGAAAAATATTCCACCCTAGCACAAAATATGTATTTTACAATAATTGTTGTCTGAGAGTAGAAAAGAGTCCATAGTTTAGCAATACCGTTGTATGAAGATATTATAGTAAGATACCTTTATGGAAAGATCATTGGAGGAATTTTTTTTTTACATGGAAACACTTGCTGCATGCCCTGCAGTGATGAAGCACTTAACGAAGGCGTCTTAAAAAATAAATTATAGAAAATGCGAATGTTACTTATTTGATTAGATAATTAACATTGACATACACCTTCATGGCTCAGGACGTTAAGTGTTCAACTTTGGATTTCGTGAAGTTTAGTTTCCGACTACTACTATTTTTTCGCATTATTAAAATACTACAAAATTTAGAAGAAAGGTTGCATTAATTGTAGGGGTTATATTATGATAAATAAATAAACAGCATAAGTCGTATTTTTCATATTTTTTCCAATATAAAAAAAAATGTTTTTATCTGTTATTGAATCCGGGTTGGGAAATCCAAACTTGAATGCTTAACGACCTAAGCCTTGAAGGCACTTATGTCAAGTTAATTATCTAATTAAATAAGTGACATGGCTTTTTAAAATACCATCATTGTGCGCTTCACTGCTGGTGTGTCCATCTTCTATAAAAGAAAAAGAAAAACGAAACATTTGTAAAGTTGCCTTGCACAAATATGTACCAAAAAAGGGTAACTGGCTCTCGTAAGCCTTTTTCGTTTAATCGTCTCATTATTTGAACACTAAGCGCCAGCATGGGAAATATATGTTAAAGTTAGTTTTAAGAACTTTTAACATTCAAATAAACAAAAACAATTTATAAATCTATTATTAAAATTCGTGTTGGAACAAAACATGTAAAATTGTTGAATTTGAAAGATAATATTCTAAAAAGGGAAAGGACTTCGGTCGAGAGCCTATTAGACTGAATATTCAGTTCAACTAATGACAATTATTGTTAATAATATTACTATTCTTAAATATGTGAATATATTTTGTGGACGGGGGTTTAGGAGCGTTTTTGAGCGATTGTTTCACCGATTTCAAAAGTGACTCACGTTTTGCTTAATTGGCATTCCTTTTTGAGATAGTCAACCAGTCGAAATAAAAAAAAATGCCAATAATATTTAGATATTAATTTATTTATTTAATCAGTTTTGTCTGAGCTAACTAAAAGGCTGTATTCTGTAAACAATGAAAAATAGTAATAAATTATAAAAAAAATGTTTTTATAAGATTTTCTTTTATGCTCAAAGTTAAGGCTTTATAATTAATGTGTCGTTCGTAGAATTATGTACTAAATAGAGCACTGATTTTGAAAATAAATTTTAACCATTTTGATAAGTTGTTGAACCATTTCTAGGAGAGGAGCATGGTATGTAGAACTGGCATTAAATTATGACATATTGCGTGTTATTCGTGATAGTTCATTAAAGGTGATTAAAGGTGATACGCCTACTCCATAATGACACTGTTCCAAAACGGATGGTTTTGAAACATATCAGCGCGAACGCAGGTGGTCATTATGAATGTCTGTAAACAAGGGTCTACGTGACAATAGTCGCGTCACCAATATGCAATAACGCGACACTCATGGCCAACAAGTTTACAACTGTAGTATGCCATCTTATTTGAAACAAAAACTTTCCGCTATCCCTCTTTAACAGAATATAAAAAGTTCGCTTTGCGCACGCGCCGTCTCTTGAACAAGGACACTTAGAATAGCGGCCCATAAAAAGGCGTTAATACATTTTCTAAATAATAACAGCATATCGTTCTAATGTAAATAATAGTATCGTTATAGTGTAAATAGTATCATATCGTTCTAATGTAATGAGTTTTGCTGTTCTTTGTTCTAATGGTTGATATGTGAATAAAGTGTTGTCAACTAACAACTCTCATAGTTTGTATTGTGGAAGCACTCCTCTACAATATACAGTCTGCTTTGTTAAAAACCATAACCGGTTTAATTTATTATTATGTGTCGATTCGGCAGAGCAAGTCAAGCCGTAACTATATTAAATTCAATATGAATTCGTGTAGTTCTTATAGTATTATAATCCGATCTTTTATTATATTTCCTGTAATAAAGATGCATTAAGAATTTATTTTGAATTTTCTCAAGTTCATGTAAATATGTTATAACGAACCACCTAGGTACAGCTTCTGGATCAAATTTATAAAAACCCGTATTGTTACACTGGCTATTAGCACTTTAATCATTTGAAAAAAAAACTATAAATGAATTAAAAGAAAAAAGTATGAGTAATAACTTTTTTATCTCACAATGTAGGGTACAAGAAGTTATATAAAAAAGGTTGGTATTTAATATCATCTAAACAAAAAACAAAAACATGTTTAAATGAATATATTAAATAAAATATGATTATTCTTTAACAGAGATATATTTATTTGTATTATGAAAATAATGTTTATGTCAACAAATATATGTTCGGTATATGTAGCAATTTGTAAAGATTACTCTTGTGTAATGATAATTTTAATGTTTAAAGGTTTTAAAATATCACAGTTCAAAATTCCCTTTATTGATATAATACTGTTTCTTTGGAATGAGAGCATCAGTTCCTGTTTTTCGGTTAAGCTCCATAAATCAATTCATATTTTAATCTGAAGCTCAGAAAAGTTGCAACAACTAAACAATATAATGAACTTTTAAAATGAAATTCAATTTATATTTAGAATTAAAATAAGTTAGCTAAAATTTTTGACCGTATGAAGTTACTAAAGTTGTAAATAATTACGTTACAAAGATTTTGGATAATTTTGTGATTTATTGCTATTATTTTTTCACTGATTAAATAATGTAACACTTTCACATTTAACGAATTTATTCATTAAAAAAAAATACATGTGTTTAAAGATATAAGTAGTTCATAGCCGAACTGGGTGAAGTACCAAAAGCTTTCTATCTGGCTGATGTTCGATACGAAGTCGGTACTCGGGAAAGTTTCGTTCGCGCACAGCACGTATGGCTCAGTCCGCGATGCTGGCGCAATTTTAAAATGTTTGATGCGCGGTAAATTTAAATTATACCGAAATTCACCAGATTTATATCTGAATTTTCAATTTCTATTGATGTGATAGTTACTCATCTGCGTTTTACAATATCAATTCATGGCTTGGCTTTGGCACAAACCCCTTCGTAGTAAAATTACTAATCCGAATCAGAATCTTATTATTATTATTTGTGAACTTAAAAACGTGGTCCACGAGTCAAATATTTGGTATAATAACTATATATCATCAATTTCCATTACCACTGGTAAAATCTAAAATTTATTTATCCCTCGTAAGACATCAGTAAATAATATTTTAAATTGTTTTCATTCACAAATATTAATTTTAATTTCTTTA